TTTTACTGTAGTTGTGCACTAGGGAAATGGACGCAATTAGAGTACGGTAGATGGATATGTGAAATACATCGTATAGTCATTTACTTGACTGGATATGAGAAAAAAAAGTATGTTTTAGACAGTGAGGGCGAAAAGTTCATCTTAAGAGTAAAGTTTCTTTATGTGAAACTGTAAAGAAATCAGAATCAGAATTATTAATCCCATAATTAAGGAAATTATGCAGTATTAAAATAGGCCTCTATGAATAATTTTTACTTTCCCGACACAGGAAGTTGTAGCCAATCAGTGTCTGACAAGCCTCACCTCTGTAAACTGGAATAAATTTACTGGAAATCCCAGCTGTGCTGTGGATGCCTTTTTGCTGCATTTTGATAGTTTATCTAACAAATAATCTATCTTACTGTGTAAGAAACCACCAAAGGAATTTGCATTTTGGTGAGTGATATTTTTAAAATAAGCATTTTTTTTCTAGTTGTGAAAATGCAACTTTCGTATAAAGCATTACTTCAAACATTAGAGAAGCTATAGTTAGGAGCAACAAAGACTAACTGGAAATTTTGGCTTTTTAAAAATTTTTTCTACCTGGTATTTTTCTGGTGTGTTGCCAGTGCAATCAAAAGTAAAATCACATACAGTTCACCCTGAAAATTAAAGTTCACATTTCCTTTACCGTGCAGATTTTGATACATTAAATGGTTAAAAATTGAGAGCCACAGACTTTTGGCTCACACACACAAGGTTCCTTTTTTTGTCCTAACATCGGTTTCCCCAGCTTCAACCTATTCCATTATTACTTAGTTTGCTCACAAGATCTTAAATCTTAAGTAGCCTAAAGACAAACCAACCAACACATGAGTGCCTCTGAACACCATCTATATTCTGCTTCAACTCCTTTGAAATTTTAAATTTGCTCCTTTGTTAGTAGCAGTGTTCTTGACAGCAAAACAACTAAATAATATGTGAGAGAGCTGCAGTACACATGACCACTGCTTAGGGCTGTGTGATATGATCAAAATCTCATATCCCGATATAAGACATCTATTGTGCCGATAACGATATAAATCACAAAAATGTAACATTTTCTGTAAATTCTGTGAATCTCGGGCAGCTCGACTTGCGTGAAGTGTTTCCAGCTGGGCGTCATGTACCTGGAGTCGAATGTTTTAACCGATGTATGAAACTATACATTTTTAGACATAAGTTGTAACGGCCGCCGTTTTCTTTGTGAGTATTTATTACGCAGCGTGCTGCGGGGAAAAGCCTGTTCTAACGTTTGAGTCTAAGGTTTATTTTTAAGCACCTGATGACTCTGTTTTGCTTCTCATCCATAAATACTTTGCATACTCTTTCACGTGATTCAGTTTATTTAGAAAAGTCTCAACAGGATCTTGAGCTTTATTGTGAAAGGTTTATGTGGAAAATAAACAAGCGGACATGCAGTGGTTTTACCGTCGTTGTTGCTAACGACAACGCATAAAAACAGGCGCTTGTCTGTTCATAGTGTGGTTATATTAAATATAAGAGAAAGGGAGAACTTTAAGAAAATTAATATAGCCACTACAGTAACCATCAAAACGATGAAAAAATATTGCCGCAGTTTATTTTGCGACACAACGAAACAAACGATAGCGTAAAATGAAACGATAGATGTTTTTATATCGTGATCCGATATATATCGTTATATCGAACAGCCCTACAGCCCTGCTTACAAGAAGATACAGTAACTATGAAAAATCTTACTGAGCATAAAATAATAAATCTCAAACCACATATGCCCCTGCAAAGAAAGGAGCTTCAGCCAGGCGCATCATAGATCAATGGCAGAGACATCCTTTTATGCTCATTTTGGCACAATCGGAAGAGCATCTCACAAGAAAATAAATATTATGTTACACTCACACACTTCACATTGAAATTTAAACATTATTACAGACAAGATATAGACTGATTAAAAAGCCCAAAAGAAAAAACAATGAATATGCCTTTCCACACATGCTGAAAAATATTATCAGCAGATCAGACATGACGAAAAGAAAGAGGGATGAGTCAGTGCATTCTTGTTAGAGTATTAGTATTTGGGTCCAATACCTTAGCAGCAACGTGTAAGAAATATTAAAGAAAAATATAGAGAGATGAACAATTGCCCACTTTTTAGATACAGTTCAAGCTTTGATTAATTATTCAAATCCATGCCTATGAAAACTTTATCCAAAATTTAAGACATGGAAGCACAGTGACCCAATTCTGCCAGTCCTACAAGAGACACATAAACACACACACCCTCCACCCTCCTCTCTGCACATATCATGCAATATTCACCTCCAATAGACGGTTCAATCTTAAGAAAGTGTGAAAATTAAGTTTCTAAGCTGTCATATCGGCCAAAATGGCTGTTTCGGACTTTAAACTATTTAACACATCTTGCATCATTTTGACATTTTAAAAAGCTGCAACATTTGCTGATATTTGCTTCTTTCCTTTCGTTTTACTTGACTGTTTCGGTGCACAACTGATATACAAAATACAGTTCCTGATAGCTTAATCTTTTAGATTTCATTCATCCATCTGTTCTTTGACTATGACTTGACTTTGCAAGTAACAGCCAATCAGAAGAAAGCTGGCTCAAAAGAAAGAGAAATGGAGCTAAAGCAAGAAGCTAAAATAATTGGCTGCAACAAGGCATATGTATAAATGGAGGTTAAAATAGGCCGAAAAAATCCAGAATGATGTTCGAGCACCTTCACATGATAGGTAGGTTAATGTATATTACTCTTGAAAGAGGTCATTTTTCAAAATTATTCAGTAATAACACAATAATGACATCCAGTTTCCACCCACAATACTATTAAGACCGTAGGGTCTTAATAGGGACCGTAGGGTCTTTACCTTACAACAGCGGTCCCCAACCCCTGGGCCACGGACCGGTACTGTGAGTCGTTGGGGACCGGGCCACGAGAGTTGAGACACAGGTGTGACATTTATGGTTTTTGGGGTTTTTATTGTTATTTTTTATCGTTTTTAACATTAACTCTGTTTCCCTGGGTCTTTTCCTGTGTGTTATTAATAAATGTTCTTTTTTCTGGTACTGGTTTTATTTTGTTGTATTTATCTTAAAGGTCGGTCCATGAAAATAGTGTTGGACAGCTTCCTTACAATATAAAGCGCCTTGAGGCGACTGCTGTTGTGATTTGGTGCTATATAAATATAAATTAATCTTTTTTTTCTCATCCCTCTGATGCATTTTGATGGAGATGTAAACAAAGTTGATTGCAGTAGTTCAGCATCTAGCTAGAGAAGAAATGTGAACATAAATGGAGTAAAGTTTATTTTAAGGAAATTTAAAGGTATTTTCAGGTAATTTCAAATGCAACTTGTCAAGCAGCTCAAAATATCATGACAGAAACACACAAACAATTTCTGCATAGCCCATCAAAAAATGTGTCTGCAACCTAAAGGCACAGCTTTCCTTTTTTTATATACTTCTCAGAGACATGGAGAAAAAAAAACATTGATATGTAAAATGGAGTAAGACATAATAAACACCGGACACCATCCCTCCTCACCATCTATCACCAAGAGCAACTCCAGAATGGAACAATCCAACCGCTCTCCAGGAAACTGATTACAGACCCCAAGCTGTGCATCATGGTGAGCCCAACTATATCAAGCTGGTATCTCTCAGCGTCAAGCACCGGTTCAGGCTCCTTCTCCACCAGAGCAGTGATGCTCCATGTAAGCCGGTTGCAGATCTGCTGCAACCGGCTTGGTTGCAGCAGATCAGACCGATAAGGTCCCCACCCTCGACTGCCACTGATCTATATTGCACCAGGTATTGGGTCCACATGAGGCGTGGCGTGTTCTCGCAAGTCTGGCGTTTCAGCAAAAAACGGTTTGCTTAGGGCAGGGGTGGGGAACTCCAGGTATCAAGGGCTGGTGTCCTGCAGGTTTTAGATATTACCCTGGGTCAACACACCTGAATCAAATGATTAGTTCATTACCAGGCCTCTGGAGGACTTGAAGACATGTCGAGGTCATTTAGCCATTTAATCAGCTGTGTTGGATCAATGACACATCTAAAACCTGCACGACACCGGCCCATGAGGCCTGGAGTTCCCCCACCCCTGGCTTAGGGAGACACTAGCAGAATACTCACAATAATGTAGCTCATAGGATCACTAGGCCACACAAATCCCAATCATCAGAATAAGGGGGAGATGAAGAGGCTTTAACCCCTACATATAAGATAAATAAGGATAATATATGGAGCTTAAAAATTAGCATATTTCTCCTTTAATATATTTTTTATTTAATTATTACAGATAATAGTTAAATGAGCACGGCATAAAGTCAGAGAAACTTTGTTATAATTAACACCTGTGGCTGTTAAGTAAACTGATCTGATGATCATGTTTGCAAACAGCTAGCATGCGCACAACATTAACGTGAAAACACTTGCCAAAACTGTACTTGAGACCATTCCGCACTTCAAGTCACACTGTTGTATGTACTGTATGTAAAATATTTTGTACAATGACTTTGAGATCAGCATATATGCTGTTTACATGTCAGTATATGACAACAAAGTTGACTTGGAAATGACAAAGCCATCCATACTAGATTCATGTTGCTTAGCCAGGTTACAGATTTAAGTACTATTGAATTGTTTTTCCATGTGTGGTCACATGATTCTAAAGCATCATGATGCTTATGGAAGGCATGTGTGCAGCTTTTGACTCATGAGATCCAACAGGAGCAGGATCAGGCAAAGATATGCAGCACTGTCCAAGTAAAGACAGTCAGGACCACCACATAAGCATGGACTGAGGACACCAAGGACAGAATATATTTTCATATAGAAAAGTTTCTACTAACATACTGAATGCCAACCATAAAAAAGTCATAACTGCCAGGAACTAGAAGAATGTTGCATAATAACAAGATGATTAAAAAAACACAAAACAAACATGGATAGGTTAACCTGGAAATATGAAGTTGCTCACCTCCATGTTTCTTTTCATACATTTGGACGGCGAGGACTCCTCAGATCTAGAAGACTCAGTGCAGGACAACGGCTGGTCGTCCCAGCCTGCATGGGGAGTGTTGAGAGAGTGGCAAATATTTGGAGATCTGTTCTGACAGGTGTCCAAGACTGTAGGAGTGGCACAGGGGTCAGCTGCACATAAGTTCCTCTCTGAAGGCTGCTTCCACTGATCTAGTTTGATTTTGCTTTTTGGTGAGTGGGAGGTACTATGGGGTCTCTGTAGCAAGCTCCTCTGGGGGGTTAGGAGGGGGGTCGTCTGACAGTATTTACTGCTGTCTTCCTGAGATGGCTTCCTTGACAGGCTTTTGAAAACATGCCTGAGGGGTGCCGCTTTCTGTGCCCCCTGCAACAGTCTTCCATGAGCTTCTAGCAGGTGGCAAAGGAAGATGGCCTTTTCTAGCTCAAATTTCTGCCTGTGATGCAATTTATAAGCTGCCTGCTCACCGTTTATCTTCATATACAGAGTTAGCAGTAAGTGCTCCAGCTTTGTATACGTCTGTCTGCTGCAAAAACAAAAAGCCTTTTTCCGTGTGGAGTCAACGCTACCGTGCCATTTACTGCTTTCAGTGTCCACCTTTTTAGCCAGAAAATACCTGTGTCTGTTATAGTTTCTGTCCTTTTGGTCTCCTCGCCTGGCTGTCAGCTCCCTCACAGCTCTTTGCTGCTCTCTCTCTGCTTCTTCTCGTAGCCATCTAATCTCCGCAGTGAGCGCTTCATGAGCCTGTCGTGTTCTCGATTTTGCCACTTCCCAGTCAGCACGCAGGCTCTCTAGGTCTTGTCCACAGCCCGACAGGTCCTGGCATGGTTTCATAGATGACAGTACCACAGAGTTATCCCTGTCTTCAGTCATGATGCCTTATTCACAGCACAACATGCATGGAAGGGTAAACAGTTCTCACTTCTAAAGAATTGGCTAAGTATCAGAACTGAGTGGCCATGCAGGTGAATGATGGGTTTGGTGGGTTAGAAATTCAGCATGCAAATGACATAAGGTCACTGGGGGGGGGGAGAAATCGAAAAAAAAAAGACAGATGAAGGTTAAGGATGAAGGTAATATATGAAATATAAAATGTAGTGTTTTTAGATGATTAAGAAATTGATCGTTTCTTAGGGAGGGTTTTGTTATGAAGGGAGAAAGAAAGACTGAACATCTTTGTGCAACCAGGAAAGGACATTGTGATGGTAGCTGACTGCTTTATGTTCGGACAGAGATTTCAAATTTACCTAGAATAAATATGGCACTCAATAATTAGTTTTTATCTAACGTTGCCTGGATGAACTCAAACATCTTAACAAACACAGAACAAGGCACGAACAATGGAGTGTATGTAACAGCAGTCAAACATTAAGCTGAGGATGCAATAAGTGATATGATGCAAAAAAAGATCTGTCTTAGCTGCCGTTACTGAAACCCGTTTTGCCCATCACTAGCTCAACTTAGCGGTTCCCATATGGACGCGAGAGTACGGTTAGTATTACACGGAGGATGGGGACTCTGCTAATTCGAGCTAATTAACTAGCTTAATCTTGGTTTAGCATGTTACTGTCATGCCCTCAAATAGGTGACGCTAAACTCTATTACGCTATTCTGTAATGTGAATAACACTCTCTAGCATCCTGGAGTCGGAAAAAACAAAACAAGACAAAAGGGAAAAAAAGAAAAAAACACTTCTGGCTACTACGTCCTGTTAGCCTGTGTTAGCTTAAGGTTTGTTTGTTTTTTAGCCATAACTTGTCTCAAACTCACCTCTCAGCAGACTCAACTACTATAATGAACTTTTCATCAATGGGGACATCTTCTTTTGACTAAAGTATTTCTGTCAGCATTCAAATTAGCTGTGTAATAACACTAATACCGCCTACGTTTAGTTGTTAAAGGTCCACAGAGCCATGCAAGAAGGGGTTTGTTTATGTGACAGACACCAGTGTGACACTCAGCCTCTGTCCAGCGTCATCCTGCTGGCCCGGCCAGGAGCAATGCTGCTTTCACGTACTTCACGTCCTTTCTCACCATGGCAACGCTTCATGACATATGAGATTGGTAATTTTTCAAGGTTGGATAGATTTCAGTTGTTTTTATATGGCTTCAGTTTCTTATATTTCTGTATTTTATGTAAAGATTTGAGTAGTTCATGGGCTCATTTGAAGTGTTTGTTTTTATTCCCCCTCCTCCAAAATATGGAGTATTACCTACTGATATTGAAGGCAACATACCATCCTCTCAACTTGTGGGAGATGAAGGACCACTAGTGGTTACACAGTGCTAGTGTGATGTAAATCCGCCAATTTTCTATGTATTTTTAATCAAGGTTTATTATCTTAACTATTATTTTTTTATAACTATAATAATAACTATTATTAGGGCCCGAGCACCGATAGTGCGAAAGCCCTATTGTATCTGCTCCGTTTATTATTATTAGGGCCCGAGCACTAAAAGTGCGAAGGCCCTATTGTATCTGCTCCGTTTCTTCTTCTTCTTCTTCTTCTTCTTCTTCTTCTTCTTATTATTATTATTATTATTATTATTATTATTATATTATTATTATTATTATTATTATTATTAGGGCCCGAGCACTGAGAGTGCGAAGGCCCTATTGTATCTGCTCCGTTTCTTCTTCTTCTTCTTCTTCTTCTTGTTCTTCTTATTATTTTTCTTATTCTTATTCTTATTCTTATTATTATTATTATTATTATTATTCAGGCAAAACAAGGGCCTTTTTGAGGGCCTAAACATGGTCAAAAACTCATGAAATTTTGCACACATGCCAGGTCTGGTGAAAAATTTTGTATTTTAATGGTTTTACATATGAGCACTGGGAAATGGCTCTAGAGTGCCACCTATGCCTTGTTAAATGCAGCCCTACGACCACATCGTTTGAGCTACATCATGTATGAAATTTGGCACACATGTGTATCATGACAAGACGAACAAAAAAAGTCAGTGGGCCCATTGATGCAAACCCAACAGGAAGTCCGCCATTTAGACGTGAAGGTGAGATTTTGGCTCTAATTTTGCCATTTCCATGCCTCGAACTTTTTCGAACTCCTCCTTGGGATTTGGTCGTATAAGCTTCATCTTTGGTCAGTGTCAACTACACACTTGGGCCATGTTAAATTGCGGAGCTTTTGAGTTTTCGCGATACGGCGAGGCCGTGGCGCCACGGCGAATTTTGATGACTCGCCATGAAAATCTTATTGCCTCTCATTCTGTCATACATTGTCCGATCTGGACCAAAGAGCACACATATGATAAGGCTCCAGCCCTGAACATATTTCAACTGCCATATTTGACACCAGGGACAGCGCCACCTAACGGGAACAGGAAATGTCATGTTTTACACTTTGGGGTACAGTATTGTGATGGGTGACATTTAGAGCCTCAAATTTCTCCAGGAAAGCCTTAAGGAGTTGGTCTTGGGTTACAGTGAAAACTGTGAGTTTTCGCGAAAGGGTGTGACCCCGAAAGCATGGCGAACTTTCATGTCTCGCCATGAAGAAACAAATTAATATAATTCAATGAAATCCAGTCTGATCAGTACCAAACTTTACAGGCATGATGTCAGACCCGCCCTGAACAGATTGATGTGCCCATTGACAGGAATACGAAGAGCGCCACCTAGTGGCAACAGGAAATGTCATGGCTTTCACTTTGTTGTACTGATTTTCACAGGTTCATCATGGCCACCTCAAAAGTGGTGAATATTACCATGAGACCCTCATGATGCTTCAGTGCGAAAATTGTGACTTTAAACTGAACGGCGCACCCTGGTGGCAACGCGGTTCACCATGAAAACTGAAGTGGCTTTTGAGGGGCTTAGAAAGTTTAAAAAGTCTTGAAATCAGATCGGACGTGCTGGTTTTAGGTGTTGGGCGTGGCTCGACGCGCCGGGGCGAGAGGGTCCTCATTACGCTGCTTGCAGCTTTAATTAGGGCCCGAGCACTGAGAGTGCGAAGGCCCTATTGTATCTGCTCTGTTTCTTCTTCTTCTTCTTATTATTATTATTAGGGCCCGATTTTAATGGTTTTACATATGAGCACTGGGAAATGGCTCTAGAGCGCCACCTATGCCTTGTTAAATGCAGCCCTACGACCACATCGTTTGAGCTACATGTATGAAATTTGGCACACATGTGTACCATGCCAAGACGAACAAAAAAGTCAGTGGGCCCATTGACGCAAACCCAACAGGAAGTCCGCCATTTGGACGTGAAGGTGACATTTTGGCTTTAATTTTGTCATTTCCATGCCTCGCACTTTTTCGAACTCCTCCTTGGGATTTGGTCGTATAAGCTTCATCTTTGGCCAGTGTCAACTACACACTTGGGCCATGTTAAATTGCGGAGCTTTTGAATTTTTGCGATACGGTGAGGCCGTGACGCCACGGCGAATTTCGATGACTCGCCATGAAAATCTTATTGCCTCTCATTCTGTCATACATTGTCCGATCTGGACCAAAGAGCACACATATGATAAGGCTCCAGCCCTGAACATATTTCAACTGCCATATTTGACACCAGGGACAGCGCCACCTAGTGGGAACAGGAAATGTCATGTTTTACACTTTGAGGTACAGTATTGTGATGGGGGACATCTGCAGCCTCAAATTTCTCCAGAAAAGCCTTAAGGAGTTGGTCTTGGGTTACAGTGAAAACTGTGAGTTTTCGCGAAAGGGTGTGACCCCAGCAGCATGGCAAATATTGATGTTTCGCCATGAAGAAACAAATTAGTATAACTCAATGAAATCCAATCTGATCAGTACCAGACTTTACAGGCATGATGTCAGACCCGCCCTGAACAGATTGATGTGCCCATTGACAGGAATATGCAGAGCGCCACCTAGTGGCAACAGGAAATGTCATGACTTATACTATACTATATATATATATATATATAGATATAGATATAGATAGATAGATAGAGAGATAGATAGATAGAGAGAGATATATATATACATATATATATATAGATATAGATATAGATAGATATATAGATATAGATAGATAGATATAGATATAGATATCTAGATAGATATAGATATATATAGATATCTATATATATATATATATAATGTTCTTCCTCTACACCCCCCCCCCCCCAATTTTTTTGCACATGTCGAGGAGCGTGTCAGGCTACATTTCACTGTGTGTTATACTTGTATAACTATGCATGTGACAAATAAAGAACCTTGAACCTTGAATAAAGAACCTTGACTTACACTTTGTTGTACTGATTTTCACATGTTCATCATGGACACCTCAAAAGCGGTGAATATCACTGTCAGTCCCTCATGATGTTTCAGTGAGAAAATTGTGACTTTAAACTAAATGGCGCACCCCAGTGGCAACGCTGTTCACCATGACAAATGAAGTGGCTTTTGAGGGGCTTGGAAAGTTTCAAAAGTCTTGAAGTTTGGCACACACCTCCAATGTGAAGACGGCTTTGTTGTTATGATATCATTTTCCTTGAATAGGGCGAAATGGCTCCACAGCGCCCCCTACAAAATTTCAAAACATCAGCCCTTGCTCTGTGTTTTATCTATGAGTCTGAAACCTGGTAAGCTCATGGAAGATGTCAAGATGTACAAAAAAGTCTCCTGGAGCAATATCCCAAATCCAACAGGAAGTCAGCCATTTTAAAATTAATGTGTAATTTTGGCGACATTTTCCCCTCCTTTCAGGCCTCATACTTTTACGAACTCCTCCAAGGGATTTCATCAGATTGATGCGATCTCCAGTGTGTGGAATCTAACGACCTTTGTGATGTTAAATTGCGAAGCTTTTTGCGATCAGGGAAACGGGGTGGTAATGGCGGCACATGGTTTCAATCACTCGCCAAAAAGCAGTAATCTGCTGTCACTCAAAAACGCAATGTTCAATCTCTCCCAAAGGTCGCAGGCGTGATGAGACTTGAGCTCGGAAATGTTTGTTATGCCATTTGTCATTAATGGTTAGAGCGCCACCTAGTGGGACGACTATAATCATGATTGAATGAGATGAATTGTTAGCTGGTGGTTAAATGCATAAATTCCATCAATGTGACATCAGGTCGGACGTGCTGGTTGTAGGTGTTGGGCGTGGCTCGATGCGCGGGGGGTGCGAGGGCCCTCATAACGCTGCTTGCAGCTTTAATTATTATTATTATTATTGGTATTATTATTATTATTATTATTATTATTATTATTATTATTATAAATGGGAGTCATTATTTTAGTTATCTTCCCATTGCAAAGCATCTATGACTCTGTGATTTACTAACATCAAGAGCAAAACACAATTATAATCAGTGTAACTATGTCCTGTGATTTTATACAACCAGAGTGTCTTCATCCATCTAACAAAATGCTATCGACAAAAGTAATTTTCAGATGAAGGACAGGTTTAAACAGAATTTTTTATTAATATTTATTTAGCTGCTTCAGACTCAGCAACTAGGTATCGAGCAAATGCCAGCGAGACTTTTAATGAAGGAGACGCATCGGTAGTGTGTGAATACGTGTGTAAACATACTGACAAACCTTCTCTTGTGTCACTGTTTTAGATTGCTGGCAAACAGGAAAGAGGAAAAGGAAGGCAGACAGAAGTCACAGCAGGCTGGGCTAAAAATAAATCTCACTAAATCAAAGTTCGAAGCCAAGCTCGCTGAGACGTGACAGGCTCACATGAAGGGAAGGACAGACTGAAAAGCTCTACACTCAATTAACTGTACCACTGCCATACCGAGAACTAAGCGGAATGACTAGTGGACAGGTGTGGAATAGCAGCACTGGATAGCTCTGCTGCAGTTATGGACAGGAAGAGAGTGGGTGGGTGGAAATCAAAGGAGAAGGTGCAGATAACGTATCGTTATTTAGTAACAGCTGAGATTAACATTTTATCTAATTACACACTTTCACTACTACTTTTTAGAGA